TTATAATTATATAATTTTATTCGGTATACTAAAGCAAAACGTTTCGACTTTACTAAGCCTTCTTCAACCGCTACTACAAATTTTCAAATTATAATTAAATCATTAGTCCTATTTGGAGAACATGCAACTTTTCCCTTTCCGTGGCGACTCAAAATCAAAATCGTTGTCCGAAGCCACTATTCCCTTGACAATCCTTGCAGTTAGATTCGATTTCTAATGGGTCAATCAGGTGGTCCTCCTCGGTCGACGTCCCGTCGGCAACTGACTTTTTTTTTACTTTAACAAAAATTAATTTTGAATATAACAAAAATATATTATTTGCGTAATGAGTTAAAATAAAAATAATCGGAAATTTTTGCACGATATTCTTGATAAGTGTTTTCATGCCATATCTATACTAATAATAATTCTTATTTTCCCGACGACAATTCTCAAGAATCTAACAGGGATTCCTTCATAAGACTTTCAGTGTAGTAAGAGCTACCATTTCTTTCATATCGAGTATCTCTCGGTATATTTTCTTGACAACGAAGGCACAAATAAAAAGATAAAATCACAAACGGTTCGCACAGAAAATTTTCCTCGGTATATTGCATTCTTAATCGACCCATATTTCATTTCAACCTATCATGTCGCGTATTTCAAATATATCAGATATGTACCTATGTTTTAATATAAAAACCATACATATTTGTTCATTATTATTATACTCACGGAGACTATTTATGGAATAATAAATAAGGAGAGATGAGATTGATTAGGAAAGATTCGCAAGCCTGTAAATTTAGCCCTCTTGAAGCTTGACAATATCGTCATCGGGAAAATGTGTCAGAAGGAATGTAAAGCAATTGAAACAGGCGAACAACTTGATAGATAGATAAACAGAAGATAAACAGATAGACAGATAAACATTTTATTTGAATACTATACATTTGATCAAAAATTGAATTATCGTCGCGATTTTGTTTGCCCCACTTATCTCTAGCACATCGATTAACAAATCTCGGCAGTTATCTGATATGCTTGTTATTGCTAGTAGATCTCGCGCAACATGAAGTTCACGGACTCGTGACGACTTCCGAAGTCGTCAAACGTCTCACGAGACTCCACTCAACACTGATCGTCAATTTTGTTCAATCAATGCAGTTGACTCAATTGATAAAATTCACTTAATATCCAAGATACTTCTGCTACCTTTTATTATTGCATTTTCCTTTTTATTATATATTCGAAATAATTCTATATTAATATATCGAAATAATTTTATTCTCATTTACATTTTGCATTTATAGTAATAATGTGTAATAATTTACTTTAAACTATAATATAACAAATAGTTTCTATTGACTCCCGCAACTAATTTCTAAATAAATAGGATCTTACAAAGTCTATTTGTTGTAAATTGTATCACATTATCTTTAAGAAAAAACTATTTACGGATTACATAGTACCTTTTTAAAATTTGAAGCAAGTGTATGATGCGTCAGTTAATTTATCAATATGTCTTTCATATTGATATGTTTTATCAATATGTTTTTCATATTGATATGTATCTTTGAACATATTCTCTATTGGAGTTTACTACGACTGAATAATACCTATACAATAATATTTCCCCGATAAAATATTTGGCATCACTGATTGTGAGATGTTTAAATCTTCCTGACACGCGAGATGATATTAACAGAAAGAATTTTTACGTCTCGTAGCGATGTCCCTTTTCTCACGGTTTATCAATTTATATGGAGTCCTGTATTCGCACCATTTTCACCATATCGAGGAGAAAATCTTCAAGTGAGATACTATCGCGATCACTAGGAAAAATTCTGCTAGTAAAGATCCTCCACCGTGAACATTCCGTCCGCGTACGGGCTCTGCGCTCTCGTCTTCACCAGATGAAATCCCCGATACTTCCTATCGATATCCTCGCCCATGAGCACCGCGGGAAATCTGGGCGGGCAGAGACCCAGCAGATAAGCTACGAAACCGGAACAGGGCCAGCCCCAGAAACCGACTTTCGTGTTGATCGACTCGGCGAAGTACTCCGCCGCCCGGTGATGGTTGCATCCGAAAGGATTCCCGTGCTCCCAGCAACCGGGTTGATTGACACCGCCGTTCATGTAAAAGTCGATATGACCGCTCGGCTCGATTTTGCCCTGAATGAAGGCGTTCGTGTGCAACACGTCGACGAACTCGGCGTCGCTCGCGTCGAGCTTCTCGTCCTTGTCGACGGTGACGAAGAGCGGCATCGCCGGATCGAGGCCGGTGATCCTCGGGAGCTTGTACGGCCGTAACACGTTGGCCGTGAAAGCGGGTACATGGGCGCCCAGACTGAAGCCGATCACGTGGATATCCCGGGCACCGTAGTCTCTCAGACGGTCGACCAGCTGTGCCAGACAGTCGCCCACGTGCGGCACGTTGTGGACGGCCACGGGGTAACACGGTGCCGACGACAAACGATGCCAGTCGAGCGCTATGAGATTGTAACGGCCCCTCTTCAGGTACTCGGTTCTGATATTCACCAAGTAACTCAGCTGCATGTCCGAATTGTAACCGTGCACGATGATCTTCGTGGGCGACGCCGCCACGAAGTTGGTGTCGGCGAGATTCGAGCCGGTATTGTTGACAAGCAATTGCTGTCCCTCGTCTGGATTGTGCTCGGTATAGAGAAAGAACATCACTTCTTCATCGGGACAGGTCTGATTGGTGTTCACCAGGCAGGGCCCCACGAAGTAATCTCTACCGACTCGATCGTCCACGGTGTTGCTCACGACGAAGGTCGTTTGTTGTATGTTCGCGGCCGCGGCGAACTCGCAGATTAACAGAAGAATCGTCAAAATCCGCCAGGTTGGTGGACAACCAGCCTGGTTGGTGATCGTCATCTTGGATTCTTCGGAAGCTCCACCTTGACCGTGATACCGCGCGAAGGTACGTCCGCGAATGATTTCAAGCGACTGTCTGGCGGGAACTGGTCGCTGCGGCGACTGGTCGATCGTCGCGGGCGAAAACGGCACGTACTGGACGAGCCTCGACGAGGTTGGAATCCCTAAAGAGCACCCGCCGCACGCGGCGACGTTTTAACAGGAACGTTTGATCAGTCGCGGATCGATGCGCACGCGCGCGCGAGGTGAGTCACGAAAAGTATATGCCGCTATTTTTAGCGATGTGGTTAAAAAATTTAAAGTCTTCTCGAAGAATTAAGTACGTCGAAGAACAATGACAAATTCAAATTTTTGCGGTATAGCATGTAAAGACGGAGTCTTTAAAATTTTTATCTCAATAAGAATGAAATTCTAGCTTTTGTCGACTCAAAAGTCGATGTTCACAAAACACTTCGCGCACGTTTATCTTTTTGGTTTCAATATATATATATATATATATATATACTACACGAACGATAAGATAAATACGAAATACCATACATCAAAATATGTTAACTTTCCGAGATAATATCAAAATATAACGGAAATAATTTTTTAGTATAAATAAGAAAAAAAATTTTAACATTTATATAACAATGCATAATACTCCGAGAAAGGATTAATCACGACGAATGCACTCAATCAATCTAGAAAATTGAATTGTTATTTTCTCAAAAAGAAAAATCACGATGTTCTTTTCACCACTCACCACTCTGCGCGCGAAACTACGGTGCAACTCCGCGTAGGTCGAACCGATGCGAGGACGAACTAAAGCACACTGCACGACGTTGTTCGCTGTTGTGCACTTGCACGTTGCAAGCGTCCAACAGTTGCGACGCACTTCGCGAAATAGACTGGTGTTGGCTGGTTAAAGTTATCACTGATATACTCGACTGATACCAACAGTAGTAAAATGCTAACGGCGACATAATCAATGGAGTGATTGTATGCAAAAGCGGTTGACGAGCAGGCGATTCGAGAAATGATTACGGCAATGGCGACGGATCGATAAAGGCTTGGGTGCACGATTGGCGGGTTAGAATTCACCACGTCGACGAATACAGGAGATGATGCAACGGCATGTGAACTGTAATGGCACTCGCCTCTTGTAGGACAAATTGGGTATTTCCGAGATACGCGTGTTTCCTTAACCGCCGCTTGTCAGAATTGTGCGCATCGATCAGTATTAGGTATATCGAAATTTGTACACAAATAAAATTTTCTCACCGTAGTAGATAAATGAATTTTTCTTCTAACTTGTAATAGAGAGAGAATTCGAACCAGAATTATATAATATTAACTGACGATGTAATTTTATAGTTTAATGATCGAATACCAATCGAATCTACTATTTAATATAATTAATAAAACTTTGATTTCTTCATTTCGAAATCAATATTTCCAGACTTTAATTCATGCACATTGATTTTGAAGCAATTAATAATTAATTCGACTTTTGGGAAAAACGATTTAAATTTGTAAAAAATGTTTTAGCGTTACAGAATCTTTGTGCTGTGTGATTGAAAGAAACATATTTTATCATGATAATATTTTATAGAAAGGAGCTTTTACTGCCGGACGCGATTCAAGTAATTAGAAGTTGATATCTTTGATTTACAGTACGGACACGATAACATGTACCCTACCCTGCATCGCGTGACTAGTACCAATGACATCGAAAGCTGCTTTGAATAATGCGCTAACTTCCTGTTACAGGCTCGAGTCTCATTCGCAATAATTATCCGCGATTGTACTACCAAATGTCATCGAAGCTCGAAAATAAGTGTCGTTTCCTTACCTGTAAGGAATAAAGTGTCCGTTCGATCGTTCCGACACGGATTCACCGTGTAGGACCCGCGCGTTTCGGAAGAGCTCGTGAAAGTGTTCGTTCGTTACTTCCGTTGCGATAAAACGCACGAGAGAAGGTGAAATTTCGTTCGAGTTGGCACGCAGCCTACAAACATATCAATAAACTTTCGCGACCGGCGAGGATGTGAATGTTAATCGTGATCAAAAATACTTTTACATTCGTTGCCGTACGTGACGTATGATTGGTCTAAAATCCGTCCCAATTATGCGTGTCTATATTAATACCTAAATTATTAATATTATTGATTGTCATCTGAATAACTCTATGTCACAACGCCTTATGTATTTCCAGTCATTTGACATTTACTACGGCAAATGTATGCAAATTATGGGATATATTATTGTTATTATTGCAATAATTAAGATAGAAGAAAATCTATCGATCCACGAGAGACAATTGAAAAAAATATATAAATCGAATATTGCCTGAAATTGGAACTAAAATATTAGAAAGACAAGTTTATCGCATGCAGTATATTTTATTAGATTATCGTTCTACATCGGAACCAGTCTAGACGCAACATGAATGGCAAATACATTGTGAGATATATCCGAGTTCGATGAAAATAATAATAAATCGAAACGGTATACCGAGTTTTGCATAATAAATCGGAGTGATAATATGTAGACTATCTTTTTGACAATTGAAAAATATATAGATCAAACATTGCCTAAAACTAAAATATTTGAAAGATAAGTTTATATCGCGTGCAGTAATTTAATGGACTATCATAAATCACGAATGATTTGGATATTTTGCTTAAAATATGAAATTCTACTTTTCGGCAGTCTTTTTGAGTCCAACCAAGACCTGAAGCGAGCTCATTTACATAAGTTACAAACTGGGAGGGAAGAAGAAAGAAAAGGATGAATGCTTTCATTCGTATTTCACCTACATAATCCCCGTATGCACGACCACTTGTAAAAATTCTCCAAATGTAGATCGGTAGTCTCATTTCATACTGGAAAGAGTGGAAAGTCTGCATCTGTATACAAACGGAAGTATGCATTTCAATGTGCCCCGAAAATATGAATATCCGAATAAGAGATACTCCATATTCGAGCTTGCAACATGGTCGGAAAGAATTATTAATATGATTAATTAGCAAATATTTCATCCTCATGTAGCGTTATTTTAATAAAAGGAGTGGATAACACACACACAAATTTTTAATATCAAATATAAATTTTTACAGTCATACAAATTATTACGTTGTTAAAATTTACGCGAAAGCAATTAATAATTAAAATCGCATGATTGCATCATGAAATAGAAATATAAATCTATAAATGCATAATAATAATAATAATCAATGTAATGCGACGCAAAAATTTAATAAAACGCTGCAATTTGGTCGAAATAAGAGTTTCAATATTGTCAGGAATATTTATTTTTGCATAGCGGCTCGTTTTAATTTTCATCATGCATTGCTTAATTACGGTTAAAATTGCAATTACCGTAGATCCCCCGTTAATCGCGTTACATACTAAATTTTCAAAGAAAATCGATAGCCGAGTACAGGCTACCTCAATTTGTGGTGCGCGGCCTATCAGGCAATCATACTGCAATCTCCATTTTAAAAGTGGAATCCGCGTTACATGAACGAACGATGAAATCAATAGCATAAGCGGAAATACCTAAATTAGCTTATATGGCTTATATATTAGCGATCGAATTTGGTCCGTCCCAAAGTACACATACTCGAAATAGATGTTATCGCATGTAGCTGCATTAATTGCCGCGAGTGCGCGGCTTCATCACTGAATGAATTAATTTCACTAGTTTATGAGCGAATACAAATGTCATTTTGTAAATGAATGCGAATTATTGTATTTCGATGTTCATTAATCTGCTAGTTAAAAACCTAATGATTCCCCGCGATACTCTGATTGCTAACATCTTTCTCTTTGCGTTTTATATCGTTTCGTATTTTAAATAGCATTTATTAATTATCGCGCGCAATCGCGTTGCATTTTGTTTCCCCGTTTCAAGTGTATTCAATTACAAACTCTGTTGCGAACTATTTATTATTGAAACGTACATAAACGAGTCGTCGCAGAACAGCACACGAGTATTTTTCTATTTTCCCAGCCGGTCGGAACACCATCGACGGAATTGTCGAGTCTTTTTTGGACCAAAGCCAAAGCTCCCAATGATGTATCTTTTGCCTCCATTTATTCTACATTCTTCTCTGTATGTCCCGAGATAGTAGAGAATATTGTAACAAGAGCGCATATGCAAAACTTTTAGTTAAAGGTATGAGATATCGACATTTATTTTGTAAGAAATAGACACACGATATACCTCGGTACATCTGTAAATAGATATTCTCCTTTACTGCATACACTGTCTCCAATTTCCGGAATACAATGTAATTTTTTCTTCGAAAGAAGGTATTATTTTACGAGCAGCAAGTTATTTTGCACTCTCTTGACAATACTCATTTTTTCCATCCAAATGCAAAATGATTTTATTGTTGATGTAGTTTTATATTAGCAAGAATTATTTCGGGCATAAACAATTATTACAGTGAGAAATTCGCGTTTTTTTTTTTTCAAAGAGAATGTGCTACAGCGAAATATCAAGTGAAATTATTTAAACGTTGAGTATTTCTCGATTATATTCTTTTGAAATTTTATTTGAAACGTACAATTTCCTACATGTAACACACGTAGAGATTTTACGATAAATATTTGACGAAGCTTGACTCACTTTACAATAGTTACTCATATTTATTAGTATTTCAGTTGATTTACTGTGGATATTTATTTCGATATTTATTATATAAAATTCGTTATGTCGCTTCGATTTATTGTTATTTTCGTCGACCTCAGATGTATCGGTCTCAGATGTATTTGCCATTCGCGTTGTGTCTAGACTGATTTCGATGTAGAATCGTATTATACATTCCGAGTACCTTCGCTCTTCGAGATGCACAGGATGCGTCAGCAGAGATGCCGGTGAGTTTTAATCGGATTGCGGTACATGAATTTTGATCTTGAATCCACTTCACATCTATACTTAAAATTAATTTTCATCCAGCTATTACGATCTATGAAACCATTCGATTTTTACTCCCGAATGGGTTTTCGGCGGGTGCGTGATTGGCACTAGAGCGCGAGTAAATATCGATCGAATGCGAAATACGACAAAACGGCAGTAGGTGAGATTGCACGCCGCATCGATGTACAAATATCCGCATGGGCGGTGGTGCGCATGATACCGTATAAACTGACGCAACCGCAAAACGCGTAT